TCTCCTGGTGATTGGCCCAAAGTCATCCAGCTGGCTTGCGGCTAAGGCGGGACTAGAACTCACTGTCTCCTGGTGATTGGCCCAAAGCCACCCAACCAGCTTTTGTGGCTGTGGTGGGACTAGAACTCACTGCCTCCCGCTTTCTAGCCTGGTGCCTTAACCCCCACAACAAACTGTCTTTGTAACATATATATATAAAAATATTGTTTAACTTGGCAGCATTTATGCAATTGGCGACGTAGTGGCCGGACCAATGCTTGCTCACAAAGCCGAAGACGAAGGGATTTTGTGCGTCGAGGGCATCGCTGGAGGCGCAGTACACATTGACTACAACTGTGTGCCCTCAGTCATTTACACACACCCTGAGGTGGCCTGGGTTGGCAAATCAGAAGAGCAGCTGAAAGAAGAGGTGATCCTGAGAATTTTTCTTTCAGCTGGGGGCGGCGGGCGGCGGCGTTCATTTAAAAAACAAAGAATGAGTGGGGATTTTAACACAGCTCTGGTTCACAAAGGCCCATAGAGCAGGGCTCCTCCACCTTGGCTCTTTTATGACTCGTGGACTTCAACTCCCAGAATTCCTCAGCCAAGATGGCTCAGCTTGGACACTTCTCCCTTTCCCCTCAGCATGGCTGGCTCAGGAATTCTGGGAGTTGAAGTCCACGAGTCATAAAGCGGCCTAGGCCTAGGCCAGAGATAGGTAACCTTGGCTCTTTTATGACTCGTGGACTTCAACTCCCAGAATTCCTGAGCCAGCCACGCTGAGGGGAAAGGGAGAGGTTTCCAAGCTGAGCCATGCTGGCTCAGGAATTCTGGGAGTTGAAGTCCACAAGTCTTAAAATTGCCAAGGTTGAGGACCGCTGATATAGGGCAGGGGTAGGCAACCTTGGCTCTTTTATGACTCGTGGACTTCAACTCCCAGAATTCCTGAGCCAGCTTGGAAACCTCTCCTTTTCCCCTCAGCGTGGCTAGCTCAGGAATTCTGGGAGTTGAAGTCCATGAATCATAAAAGAGCCAAGGTTCCCCACCCCTGCCCTATATCAGGGGTCCTCAACCTTGGCAACTTTAAGACTGGTGGACTTCAACTCCCAAAGCTGGCTGAGGAATTCTGGGAGTTGAAGTCCACAGGTCTTAAAAGTTGTCAAGGTTGAGGAGTCCTGCAGTACAGGAAGCAAGGAGCCGGCCTCTTGTCGTCAGCGAATGGCTGATGACTTGACAAGTTGAACGAAGAAGCGTGATTTGAATCCAGGCCGTCCCTCGACTTAGCACAGTTCATTTAGCGACCGTTCCAAGTCACAACGGCAATGAAAAAAAAGTGACTTAGGACCCTTTTTCACCCTTAACGACTGTCGCAGCATCGCCCATGGTCACGTGATCAAAATTCAGACGCTGGGCAACTGGTTCATACGATGGTTGCAGCGTCGTGGGAGGGGTCACGTGATCCCCTTTTGCGACCTCCTTACAAGCAAACTCAGATCCACTTAACGACTGCTGCTAACTTAACTGCAGTGATTCACTTAACGATGGGAGTAAGAGGTCATAAAATGGGGCAAAACTCAGCAGAAATTTTGGGCTCTGTTGTCGTAAGCCAAGGACTGTAGAATCCTGTAGAGTCATGAGTTATGTCAGAAAGGACTTGTGGATCACCTTAAGAGGCCTCCCGCTTTTTCTCTCTTTAAATTTTAAATACGATGAATATCATAGGGAACTAAGTCTGTTTAGCCCAGGGGTAGGCAACCTTGGCTCTTTTAGGACTCGTGGACTTCAACTCCCAGAATTCCTGAGTCAGCGTGGCTCAGCTTGGAAACCTCTCCCTTTCCCCTCAGCGTGGCTGGCTCAGGAATTCTGGGAGTTGGAGTCCACAACTCATAAAAGAGCCAAGGTTGCCTACCCCTGCCCTATATCAGGGGTCCTCAACCTTGGCTCTTTTATGACTCGTGGACTTCAACTCCCAGAATTCCTGAGCCAGCATGGCTCAGCTTGGAAACCTCTCCTTTTCCCCTCAGCGTGGCTGGCTCAGGAATTCTGGGAGTTGAAGTCCACGAGTCATAAAAGAGCCAAGGTTGCCTACCCCTGGTTTAACCTAACAAAAAGAAGGCTTGAATTTGACATGATAGCATCTTCCAATATTTCACACAGGGAAGAGGGTCTCAATTTATTCTCCATAGCACCTGAAGGCAGGACAAGAAGCAATGGAGGCAAGCCCATTAAAGGCAGATCCAACATGGAAATAAGAATTTCCTGACAGTGAGAATAATTATTCAGTGGAAAAACATGCCTCCTGAGCTTGTGGGTGTTCCATTACTATAGGTTTTCAAGAAAAGATTGGACAATTGGACAGACAGTTGTATTGAATAGTATAGGGCAGGGGTCCCCAACCCCCGGTCCGTGGACCGGTACAGGGCCACAGCATACCAGCAACCGGTCCGCACGAACAAGCAAAGCCCCATCTGTGGGAGGCAGGCAGCGCACAAAACCACGCACACTCTCCGATCCACGGAAAAACCTCTTTCCACGGAACCGGACCCTTGGTGCCCAAAAGGTTGGGGACCTCTGATCTAACACGTAGGATTTTTTTTTTTTTTGCTGTTATTATTATTTATTTAAAGGCTTAGCTGAGTTTGTCATCACCTTTGAGGGTACGATCAGATCTCTGAGTTGCTTCAAACCGGACAGTGGCTGTATCTGTTTGGTTTTATGAACGAAGGATGACTTCCACGAATTTGCAGTGTTTCTTTCTTTCCAGGGAACAGAATACAAGATTGGTAAGTTCCCTTTTGCGGCTAACAGCAGAGCCAAGACCAACGCGGACACGGATGGTTTGGTGAAGATTTTAAGTCACAAAACGACCGACAGGCTGCTGGGAGCGCATATCTTAGGCGCTGTGAGTATGCCGAAAGATACGCGTGTTGCAATGTTGCGCAAGGCTGAGTTGCTTTACTTCTGATGCTTTATAGCAGGGGGGTCTTCAAACGTGGCCCTTTTATGACTTGTGGACTTCAACTCCCAGAATACGCTGGCTGAGGAATTCTGGGAGTTGAAGTCCACAAGTCATAAAAGGGCCACGTTTGAAGACCCCTGCTTAATAGAATAGGATATAAATACCAGGGCTGTGGAGTCGGTAGATAAATGTTCCGACTCCGAGAGGAGTCAAAAAACATGAAGGCTGAGGCTGAGGGGCTGAGGCTGAGGAGACATAATTATTCGATTGTTAGCCTCAAATGTTCAAAAATATCGGAATCGACTTACTGTCGTCAAAAAGGTTACCAAATGTCGAAGTCAGAACTTGATAACTGGGAGGTATCCCTTCACTTATACAAGTGTCTCTAGTCCTGCAAAAAACGTATTTACTTAATCCCTTATCAGTGACAGGCTAGGTTACCCATGGGCGCTGCGTTCCCTGTAACAGCAGAACACAACACTATGGAAAGTATAAGTATTGCCGCTCCTAATTGTGCGTTGCGTGCCATATAGTGAAGCACATGAAAAGCATGCTTCTTCACGGTCACTTAACGTGTTCGTTTTGCGGTTATATGAGGCACTGCATGCATTGGTCTTTATTCTTACAGTAGAGAAGTCATTAATTATAACTTTTTGTGAATTGGGACATTTAAACTTGCTTTTTTTTAAATTACAATCTAAATTTAGTAGGAGTCGGTGCATTGTTTGCCGACTCCGACTCCAGGTACCCAAAATTGACTCCGACACCTCGACTCCGACTCCGACTCCACAGCCCTGAAATACTGATATATAAGCAGCCCCGTGTCTACATCTAAGACTACCGTTCTAAAGTTCTTTCTAGTACATAAGCAGTTGTGTAGCTGTTGTGCATGTCCTTTTTTTCATGCTGCCGTTTTTAAAAACCACCAATACACACAGCCATTGTGTTTCCCGTTTGGAGATACATTTTGGGGAGGGGGCGCGATGGCTCAGCGGTTAAAGAGGTCCATATTGTCAGCTGGAAAGCTGCTAGCCTGGGTTTGAGACCCCAGCGCCACGCAATGGTGCGAGCTCCCGTTCCATGCTCCAGCTCTTGCCACCTAGCAGCTGGAAGGCATGCAAATGCGAGTCGATAAAATAGGTAGATAAATAGGGAACCGCGTTCCGTGTGCCTTTGGCATATAGCCCTGCTGGACACCTGACCACTGAAAATGTCTTTGGACAACGCTGCTACCTCGGGCAAGAAACAGATGGACACAACTGGACAAGGAGATCTTTTATCTTTATCTCTTGGGAGGCCATTCTCATCAATCACCGTGATCGTTCTTTCTCCAGGGTGCTGGTGAAATGGTTAATGAAGCCGCTCTGGCCATGGAATACGGCGCATCCTGCGAGGACGTCGCCAGAGTTTGCCACGCCCATCCAGTAAGTTCCTGCGACTTGGATCAGCCACATTTGGCCTTACGGAGAGGTTTTATTTATTTCTATCCTGCCCTTATGATTTTTTACAAATAACTCGAAAGGCGGCAAACGTGTCCAGCACATCTTCCTCTTCCCTATTTGTCCCATAACGACAGCCCTTTGAGGTGGGCTGGACTGGGAGAAAGAGTGACTGGCCCAAAGTCACTTAGCTGGCTTTCATGCCTAAGGCGGGACTAGAACTCACCGTCTCCTGGTGATTGGCCCAAAATCACCCAGCCAGTTTTCATGCCTAAGGCAGGACTAGAACTCACCATCTCCTGGTGATTCACCCATAGACACCCAGCCAGCTTTCATGCCTAAGGCAGGACTAGAACTCACCATCTCCTGGTGATTCACCCATAGACACCCAGCCAGCTTTCACGCCTAAGGCAGGACTAGAACTCACCACGATAACAGTATTCCAGTATTTGAGGGGTTGCCACAAAGAAGAGGGGGTCAAACTATTCTCCAAAGCCCCAGAGGGCAGGACGAGAAACAATGATTGGAAACTGACTAAAGAGAGAAGCAACCTGGAATTAAGGAGAAACTTCCTGACAGTGAGGACAATTAACCAGTGGAACAGCTTGCCACCAGAAATCGTGAGTGCTCCATCACTGGAGGCTTTTAAGAAGAGACTAGACAGTCACTTGTCTGTAATAGTATAGGTTCTCCTGCTTGAGCAGGGGGGCTGGACTAGAAGGCCTCCAAGATCCCTTCCAGCCCTATTCTATTTTATCTCTATTTTATTTGGCCCAGAGTCACCCAGCCGGCTTTCGTGGCTAAGGCGGGACCAGAACTCGCAGCCTCTTGTTTTATAGCCTTGTGCCTTTAACCACTAGACCACACTGCTGGCTCTCTTTATGAAAGTCCTTCGTAAAGAACCTCTTCATAATTCATGGAGGTTCCCCATCGTTGCATCGTTTTCCTCCCTTCTGCCCCATTCATTTTTCCCATTTTTTTCCCCCCCACAGACCGTATCCGAAGCTTTCCGAGAAGCAAACCTGGCAGCGTCATTTGGGAAGGCGATCAACTTCTAACACGAAAGGACGTCCATTGCGCGAAAAGCACATTTTCCTGTGAAACGACTGAAGACTCGGTAGAAAAAAAAAACACCGGGTCTTTGCAATACTCCTGGGCCTTAATTAAGTGAACTTTTGTCCGTCCCGTTTCCCCCCCCCCCAAAAAAAACCTTAAGATATTTAAACAAATAGGGGTTTGAAATTAATGAACCAATAACTGTATCTTATATTATCAATACTATATTTGCGTTATTGATTGTACATCCTTAAGTTTCACCGAAGAAAATACAGCAGCAGGATCAGCTTATAGTTGGAGAGATTTTAAAGGTTCCATTATGCATTTCGTTCAAATATAGTGTCTAATATTACGCCATGTTGTTGCTTTGTCATTGCTGGGGCGCAGCCCGATTATTGAAAATAAGCCATGGTCACAGTCATATATATATATGGTCATATGTTTTTCCGGTCTGTTAGAGCACCTGGTCTATTTGCTAATACTTTTGCCTTTTACCCCCAGCATCAAACATGGGAGCTTTTCCAGGCTAAAGTCACTACTGCGATAAACTATTTCTGTGTTAAATTTAGATTTTGCCGACAAAGAATTAAAGGGAGACTAGTATAGCTATTTCGAGCTATTTAGCTCTCATCAGCTAGCCATACCCTTCTGAGATTCGAACCCGGGCTGCTTGCACGTTAGGCAGCCTAGAGGTTAATACAGCTGCCTAACGTGCAAGTAGCCCGGGTTTGAATCTCAGAAGGGTATGGCTAGCTGATGAGAGCTAAATAGCTCGAAATAGCTATACTAGTCTCCCTTTAATTTTTTGTCGGCCAAATCTAAATTTAACACAGATATGGTCATATATACATATGAATGAATGAAATTTGATTCATTTTATCTTTGATCACAATGTAAAGGGACTTTTAAAGAGTAATGGACCTGTGTTGAAATTACTCACAAAACGATCGATACACATCTATGCTTGATCATATTTCTTTTTTTGGGGGGAGGGAGGTGAAGCTTCTTGGTTTCCGAATTTTAAAACTGTATCTTGAGAGTAAAAAAAAAATACAGAGGGATAAACTTTAAATTATGTTGACTACATAAAGTAAACTGTTTTTGTGGTTTTATTATTCCCTGGGCAGTGGATGGTCTGCGATAGCTTTTTTTCCCTTCCTAACGATAAAGTACTCTAGTAAGATGGCTAAAGATAACAGAATAACAGACTTGGAAAGGACCTTGGGAGGTCTTCTAGTCCAACCCCGTTTGGTTACTCAAAACTGCCCCTGCTTCGTTTTTCAACGAAAACCTTAATTTTGAAACCGAAATGCACCAGAGTGAGATATATTTGTTTGGGTCTCGTATAAACAAGGAATTGTCCAGAAGTCTGGGTTCACGTTGGCCACAGTGAAAAAGTAATCTTTTCAGTATTAAAAAAAAAACATATGGACAATACACCTCTTTTTGAATGTAAAGCACAAATCAATATATTTAAGAACAATGACTATACTTTTTTAAAATCGAGGGTTTATAAAATCAATCACGCTTGGATAGACGTAATCTAAAGTTTTAGATTGGAGTTTGTTCACCAGCCTAATAAATTTATGTTGATGCATTCCCCTTGTGATATTCTCTCCCCAAAGTTTGCTTCCAGTTTTAGGCTAGAGTTTGTTCCCCAACCCATTGACTTTACAGTGACCCATTCCCGTTGCGATATTGTCTCCCAAAAGCTCACCGTCCTGCTCACACATTTTTATTCACACATGCTGAATTGCCACTGTTTTTCTAGTGCTGGCTGGGACTAGACTCAAGATTGAAGTTCCTCTTGCTGATTTATCAGTTGTGGCTTTAAAATTCTTTCCTGGCATACTCCCAGCCAATTAACCAAGGTAACCACCTTCAAGCACAATAGATTTAACTCCACAAAGTTAACCGCTTCTTGTAAAAGGTGTGTTTCTCTTTGCCCCGGTCAGAAACACTCAACTTCCCTCTTTTCAAAGAGTTTTGGCACGAGACTGTTCGGGTTTATGTGCTGGATTGTTTATCGGAAGACTGGGCATGCTTGAAGTCAAAATTAAGTGGTTAAAACCCCCACGTTTGATGCTAGGATTTTATTAGCAGAATTCAAAAGGGTTAATTACTATTTGGGATAATTTAAAAAAAAGTAATTAACATTGGAATGAGGCTAAAACTAGGGTTAAACGAGGCATGTGCTTGGTTACAAAGTAGCATTTTATTTTACAAAACAAGAAAAACGTTGGTCAGGTCGCGACAGGTTCCGTTATCGGGTTAAGACCTATCATCCATTGAAACGTATTTTGGTTTTGTTTTTTCCCTTCTCTGTTCCCTTTTCCAATTTCTAGCAGGTGCTGTAAATTGCGACTTTTTGACTAATGGCTTGCAAGAGGCCTCGGACGGTCTCCTCCAGTTCCATGACTTGTTTAGCTTTCTCTTCCAGGATTTTTTGATTTTTTTCGTACGTGTCTTCCAATTCTGCAATGAGAAGAGAAGGCAGAGCAGCGTTTTTAGCAGCAACACAGGTGGGATAGTTTGAGAAATTCACTCCAGACAGCAGTAGCAACAGCACTTAGACTTACAGATTGCTTCACAGCCCTTTCTAAGCGGCTTGCCGAGTCAGCACATTGACCCCCCAACAACCTGGGTCCTCATTTTACCCACCTCGGAAGAATGAAAGGCTGAGTCAACCTCGAAGCTGGTCAGGATCGAACTCCTGGCAGTTACCAGAGTCATCCTGCAATACTGCATTCTAACCACTGAGCCGCCACGGCTTACATAGCAATAACACTCAGACTTATATACTGCTTCACAGTGCTTTATATCCCTCTCTTAAGCGGTTTACAGAGTCAGCGTGTTGCCCCCAACCATCAGGGTCCTCGTTTTACCGTCCTTGGAAGGATGGAAGGCTGAGTCAACCTTGAGCCGGTCGGGATCGAACTCCAGGCGGTGGGGCAGAGTTTGCCTGCAATACTGCATTCTAACCACTGCGCCTCCACGGTTTAGATAGCTATAGCAATAGCACTTAGACTTATATACCGCTTCATAGTGTTTTGCAGCCCTCTCTGAGCGGTTTATAGAGTCAGCATTTTGCCTTCCAACAATCTGGGTCCTCATTTTACCGACCTCGGAAGGGTGGAAGGCTGAGTCAACCTTGAGCCAGTCGGGATCGAACTCCAGACTGTGGGCAGAGTCAGCCTGCAATGCCGCATTCTGACCACTGGGTCACCCCCCAGTTCTTTCAAAGCCTGCAAACCAAAATCTTTTCTCCCCCGGTGCTCCCTGGCTTCGTTAAAGAGGGAAAAAAAGCCCAGCTTTTTTTTGACGGTGGATGTTTTACGTCTCTAAAAAAGGCCGGTGGACACAAAGGAGGACTCTCCTATCATTGAGAACAGTCTTTTTTCCTTTTTTTTAAAAAAGAGAAACCGACATCACCTTCCCACACAATGCATACCTCTGAGAAGCTGGAGTTTGCTGTTTGCTTGCTCTAACAAAATTTTAGCTTCGTTTTGCAGCTCTTCCGCTTTCTTCCTGGCGTTTGCAGACTCGCCTGTTTTCTTGGCAATTAAGTTTTCTACCGTTTTGTATTTCTCATTCACACTGTCATCTAGTATCTAAAGAGAGAGAGAGAGACGTGGAAAGTGATAATATTCCCCCGAAACGAATTCAGGTATTCCGGCTTTTTGCTTAAACGTTCTTGCCTTTAATACAGGCAAGTCCTTGACTTAACGATAGGTTGTTTAATGAGCATTCAAAAGACTTTTTAAAAAGCGACTTAAGACCGGTCCTCAAAAGTTACTACTGCCACCTTCTCCCTGTGGTCTCTCAGGATTGCCTTTCTGATGCTTGGCAACTGACTTGCATTTACAGCCGGTTGCAGCATCCCATGTTCACATGACCTCAATTTGTGACTGTTTTTGCAGATTTCCAGCAAAAAAAAAACCCCGCCCATTCGGAAGAATGGATTTGCTTTTCGACTGCAGTGACTCACTTTATCACCATCCATTCCATCCATTTCTATTTCTATTTCTACTCTACTCTACTCTACTCTACTCTACTCTATTCTAATAGTCTAGTCTAGTCTAATATTCTATTCTATTTTCTATTCTATTCTATTTTCTATTCTATTCTATTCTTTCTTATTCTATTCTATTTTTTATTCTACTCTACTTCTATTCTATTCTAATACTCGCTGTACCCAGCCATGCGTTGCTGTGGCTGTCTGGTAAAAGTGTGTGTTGCTTCTACGTCCAACAGATGGCGCTGTTTTTCAAAAAAAGCATGTTTTTACCTGTCACAGGTGTGACATCTATATAATATAGGTATATAAAAACACGCGCGTATTCGAATGCAACGTTGTTTCAAAATTTCAAAGCAATCGGTGAAGAACCTTTGGAGATTTAAGATTTTGAACAAACGAACATTTACATTTTTATTTATATAGATTATTCTATTCTATTCTATTTCATAATCCATTTTCTATTCCATTCCATTTTCTGTTCTGTTCTGTTCTATTCTTACTCTATTCTATTTTCTATTCTACTCTATTCTATTCTTTCTTATTCTATTCTATTTTCTACTCTACTCTACTCTACTCTATTCTATTCTTATTTCCATTCCATTCCACTCCATTCTACTCCTATTCCCTATTCGCTTCAGTTCTATTCCCTATTCAATTCCCTATTCGATTCTATTCACTCCATTCCATTCTTTGTAAAATTTATTGGCTGCCCATCTCACCATGGGATAACTCTGGGCAGTTTTAGCTATTGATTTAAGAAGAGCTTGGCTAACTGCTAGTTTCCTTCTTATGAACTGTTGACTTTGCATCATGGGCATCCGTGGGATTGCGTTGGCCTCATCAAGACGACAGAAGCGGCATTGTGTACCATCGCACCGCAAAGCCCACCCCTTTGGCAATGGCATGTCATCTCATACACACACACACACGGCTGGGGGCTTGTGTTGTGGTGCCACAATGCTTCTTTCGTCATTTGGCCTCTCTCTCAGCCAGCGCTGCCTGGCCTTATTCAAACCCGCTGCCTGAAAACTTTGAACTCGGAATTGCTTTTCATGGGACGAGCGCTGTCTTCCGAAGAACTTAACAGCACCCCAGGATGTTCCCGTCGGAAAGCACGGCCAGATTTCAGTGCTCACTTTTTGAACGTCTGCGGTTGTTCGATTAACCACCGCGATGTTTTCTTCCGCGGCTTTTACATCCTCTGCGTTGGTAGCTGCCTTCTCTCTAAGCATTTCCACGTTCTTCTCCAGTTCTGCAATACGCAGGGTCGCGTTCCCCAAACGGTCTTCCACGGAGCCGGTTTCAGAGGCAATCTAGCACAGAATGGATGAAGGTGGAGGAAAAACATATGTGGAATTCCTTCCCAAAATGCTGTGTTTTTTAAGGTTAGGGCAGTCGGTTTCCCAGAAATATAACTTCTGCCTATATTTTGATACACCTTTTCTCTTTTTGCTTGCTTACGTGCCATTCAGACAGCATGTCAACGCAACAGACCCTATATTTTAGGAGTTGAGGTCACGCTCACCCAAAGATCCAAGATGATAATAGCAAGGGAAGTTTGATTCTAGTCCAACTTCACTGTTGGGTTTTTTTTGCGTTAACTTGTTCCAGGTTGTGACTAGATTTGTTCCAATATCTAAAGGGCTGCCACAAAGCAGAAGGGGGGTCAAGCTATTCTCCAAAGCGCCTGAAGGCAGGAGAAGAAGCAACGGGTGGAAACTCATCAAGGAGAGAAGCAACCTAGAACTAAGAAGGAATTTGCCCAACATCATTGGAAAAATGAAAACTTAGCAGCTGAAGAAGTACTAATTAAGAAAATTCTAGAGTGTGCAGAAATGGATAGATTGACTTTAAAGATAAAAGAGAAAGAAGACTCGGTGTACAACATGGGATAAGTTCTATCAATGGCTAGAAAGATGAATTAGAGCAGTGTTTCTCAACCTTGACAATTTTAAGGCATGTGGACTTCAACTCCCAGAATTCCACAGCCAGCAATGCTGGCTGTGGAATTCTGGGAGTTGAAGTCCACATGCCTTAAAATTGTCAAGGTTGAGAAACACTGAATTAGAGAGAAAGGAACGTGATATGTAATTTTGAATATATATTAGCAAGAAGAAGGCTATTGAGTCATTAATATATTGTTTATGATAATTAACTATTATCTATTATTGTTTGTTAAACACATGAACCCAGACATTATGCTGTTTGCTAAATATTGAGAATGTTATTTGGAAAAAACCCCAATCCTAATCTTAACACCCAAATCCCAACCCCGACCCCATCTTATTCCTAACCCTATAAAAACTAATAAAATCTATACAAAAAAGAAAAAAGAAAATCTAAACTTACAGAGGCAAGCAAGCCTTGCGTTCCTTCAATATCTTTCTCTGCCAGTTTGATGGCATCTCCAGCTGTGGTTTGGGCTCTGCCAGCTTCTTCTAACGCTTCTCTGACCATATCCGCCGTGACTTTCACATCCGTCGCGCTTTTGCTGACCAATGGACAATAACGACGTTAAAGCTCTTTTAAAACAAGGATTGGTTCCTAGTTCAGAGAACAAGCCTCCATTTCAATTCGCTCTTTGTATTTATTTTCTAGCAATATTTCACGATCAGCTTAGATCAGTGGTTCTCAACCTTTTTAATGACGCGACCCCAACCGGTCGTAAGTCGAAGACTAAACCTGTCGTAAGTTGAGGACTAAACCGGTCGTAAGTTGAGGACTACCCAACCGGTCGTAAGTCGAGGACTTTCCCTGCCCGGGAGCGCCGCGCATGCGTGGTTCCGCCCCCTGTGCCGGCCAAGGCGTAGCTGGCAAGCGACAGAGACGGAGCAGGCCGACCACCAGCTGGCCCAGCCCAAGGGAGGTAAGGCACCCGCCGGAAAAGGGGGAAAAAATGGCGGACAAAAAAAATGGCGGACAGCCTTGCTTGGCGACCCTCGTGAAATGGTCGATCGACCCCAAATGGGGTACCGACCCACAGGTTGAGAACCACTGGCTTAGATGCTGAGAAGCCTCAAATCTGTGAAGATAATTTGCCCTGGAATACGTAGAGATTCAAACATCCCCATCCACGTTCTTAGTCAGTCTTTCAAGGGCTTCCCGACTACCCTTTAACAGCAGCAGTGAGGACAAAAATACAACAGACTTACAACAGTTCATTTAGTGACCGAAGTTATGATGACACTGAAAAAAAAGGGGCTTATGACCGTTTTCCACGCTAATGACCTTTGTAGCATCATCACGGTCGTGTGATCAAAAATCAGAGGCTTGGCAACTGACTCGTACTTATGACGGTTGCAGTGTCCCAGGTCATGTGACCCTCTTTTGCGATGTCCTGACGAGAAAATGGGGGAAGCCAGACTCACTTCACAACCGTGTTACTAACTTGACAAGTTGTAAAACGGAGCAAAACTCACTTAACAAACATCTCGCTTAGCAACAGAAATGTGGGGCTCATTTGTGGTCGTAAGTCAAGGACTGCTGCAAAGAGTTGGGTATCTTTAAGAATTCCAGTCAGACTTATTGAGTGAGTAGGTGGGTCTTTCTCCTTGGAGAAGCCCTGAAGGTTGATCCATCTTGTCTCCTCCAGGGAGATCTGCCTCTTCCAGGTTTAATTACACCCACGAAAGAACAATCTTAGAGTTCTGCAGCTGTCTACTACAGGAAACAAACAATCAAACAAACAAACAAGGCGTCTTATTCATACCTGGCTTTCTTAGCTTCGTCTAACAACGCCTTCGCCCTTGCGATATCTCCGGCGCTCTGCTGAAGGACGGTCTCCACATCAGACAGGCTTTCCACACGGTCGCGAATGTTATCTGCCAGGGTTTGCAGCTGTTCAGGTGTGCTGGGCATCTCCAGGTTGAGAACTTCATTAGCGACGGCTTCGATGCTATCAAGATCAGCACCCTCTTCTGTTTGGACAAGGAACAGAAAGCCGTGAGTGACCCAACGGAAGAGGGCGGTGGTGGAATTCAAACACCTGGTTTTCTCATTTGATGCGGGCCTGGGCCTCTGAGGCCTAGAACGGACTTCTGAAAGAGGCATCCATGCACTTCCGGTGGGCCATTCTAGGCCTGGGAGGCCTCCTCCATTCCTCTGAGGCCTAGAACAGACTTCCGGAAGTGGCATCCATGCACTTCCGGCGGGCCGTTCTAGGCCTGGGAGGCCTCCTCCATTCCTCCGAGGCCTAGAACAGACTTCTGGAAGTGGCATCCATGCACTTCCGGCGGGCCGTTCTAGGCCTGGGAGGCCTCCTCCATTCCTCCGAGGCCTAGAACAGACTTCTGGAAGTGGCATCTGGGGGAAGAAAGGTGATAAAATGGGGCAAAACTCACTTAACAAATGTTTCACTTGGCAACCTAAATTTTGGGCTCAAAAATGGGAAAAGGAAGCCGCTCTACGGAGAGATGCGTGTCAGTCACCGGAAGCCGTCTTAAAATAATACTTACTCGTCAAAAACATTCTGATCTGCTGAATAAGTTTCCGGAGATCCTCGTTGCTCCTGTCTACCTGGTGCTTGGTGGCGTTGGTCTTCAGCAAAACGTCTTGGGCGTTCTGCCTGGCTTCGTCGGCTCTTTCTTTGGCTTCTGAAACCTACATGAAGTAAGCGGTCCTGTGTTTATAACGGCTAGCAAATTCCGTTTCTCGTTGAAAAGGAATACTGACGGAGACCTTAACTGATCATGAAGCTCCGAGCGTGATTTTTAAGGATCCTCTGGACCAGGGTAGGCAACCTTGGCTCTTTTATGACTCGTGGACTTCAACTCCCAGAATTCCTGAGCCAGCATGGTTCAGCTTGGAAACCTCTCCCTTTTCCCTCAGCGTGGCTGGCTGAGGAATTCTGGGAGTTGAAGTCCACGAGTCATAAAAGGGCCAAGGTTGCCTACCCCTGTTCTGGACGGTTCTCAACAAAACGACGTTGAGACTCCAGAAAAAGTATGGAGAAGAGCAATAAAGATGACCAGGGGACAGGAGGATAGGATCCACGGTGGAGGAACTGGGTATGTCTAGTCCAGGGATTAGGCAACATTGGCTCTTTTATGACTTGTGGACTTCCACTCCCAGAATTCCTGAGTCAGCAGGTGGAGAGACCGGGGGGGGGGGGCTGGCATGCTATGCACCATGGGGCCACAAGGAGTCAACACGACTGCACAACAAATATTGTTAGGAAGGCACTTATGGGAACCCATCATGTAGAACATTAAAGCATGCTCGTTCTTGCCCTGACTGGCCCACACACCTACTCCCTAGTGCTTGATGGCTAAGGTATCTTAAATAATCACCATTTTGGAGAGCTGCTCCACCTCCGCCAGCGCACTCAAGATGTCTCGATCGAAATCGATGGCTTTCTGCCAGGCGGTGTGGGCCACCGTCACCAGGCCTTCGCACCCGGGCCCTCCGCAATGCTTCATCCCGTCTTCAGTGTGGCAACTCAACCCGCCACAGGGGGAATCGACACAAGAAGCCCCCGGGGGAGTCCCGCACACCTGCAGCGGAAAGGAGGGAAATGTCAAAGGTGAACGCTTCCCAAACAGCCCAAGAGCCAACTCCGTAAAGCGCCGGAGGTAGTCCTCGACTTACGACAGTTCATTTTAATGACCATTCGGAGTTACACCAGCACTGGGGGAAAAAAAGGAACGAATGACCCTTTTTTGACCCTGAACGACCATTGCACGTGATCATAATTCGGACGCCTGGCAACCGACTCGTATTTACGACGGTCGCAGCGTCCCGGGGACATCACGTGATCCCCTTTTGCGACCTGACAAGCAAAGTCAACGGAAGAAGCCAGATTCACTTAACAACCGTGTCTCTAACTTATCAACTGCAGTGATTCACTTAACCACTGAGGGAAGAAAAGTCTTAAAATGGGGCAGAACCCACTTAACAAGTGTCTCGTTTAACGACAGGAGTTTCGGACTCAATTGTGGTCGTAAGTTGAGGACTACCTGCGTTTTACTCCCCGGGGCATTTAACCTTTATCTGAAACAGGAGAAATAAGAGAGGAAAAGAGTCGTTCGATTTGACCTCCTGGTTTTCAACAAAATTAAGCGAGACCGCAAGCACTTTGACGCCGTGTCTGGGTCGAGGTAACACACAAATGCTCAGCTGAAACTAGACCAAACATTGTCTTAAGTCGGGCTTCGCAAATCACAGCCTGTTTCTCTGTTCTTTTAGTAGGAAGTTACCTAGCCTAAATATGCTCTCTTTTTAAAAAAAAAATACAAAAAATTCCTTTTTTTCCAAATTAGAGGATTCGGTCAGATGGTTTTAGAGTGCGTTACCAATTAAAGCAAGATGGAGCTGTAAGGGGAGAAATTAGCAATGGTCACTAAGCGCTGAAGAGGCGACAATCTCAAAAGTCTACAGTGGGTTTTAATTCCCTTGCCAGCCCAAAACCTCTTCGTTTCCATTTTCCACGGCATTTTAACCCGTCCCCTTTTCAAAAACCACGTTTACATCCTGACGTGACTTTGGCGTTTGAGCTTGTCTTTATTATTCTGCGGCTTGCTTTCTTGCTTCTTCGCATTTTTATTTTTTATGCTTTGTTTTTATCTTGGGTGGTTGGAAGCTCAGTCTGGAGATATTCCCTGATAAAGACCAGAGAAAATGCAGACATAAATAAATAATCCTGGGTGGGCCCTTCTACTGAATTTTCCTGCTTTCTGTCACGAGGTGGGTGGTAATTGGAAATCAAGGCTTTTTTCCCCTGCTGAAATGTTGCGCCCCTGGAATGTATTTTGGCAACAGGAGGAGATCATCTTTGTCTGATCAGGTTTGTCAGTGTAATCCTAGGATTTTATGTAGGCTGGCTGGTTCAGTTCCCGCCTTTGCTTGTCAATACTTATTTATTTTTACCCTTCGAAAGAAAGATTCTTTGCTGTTAAAATTAGGAGGGATTCCGAAAGCTCTCGGATCGATAAGCCGAGTCCTCGGATTACAACCACAACGGACCTCAAGGTTTCGGCTGCTAAACGAGACATTCGTTGAGTGAGCGTTGCCCTCTTTTCAACCTATTTTGCCACAGTTGTTAAATGAATCACTGCAGGTGTGAAGTCAGTAACCCGGCTGTTAAGTGCATCTGGCTTTCCCCGTTGACTTTGTTGGTCAGAAGGTCACAAAAACTGATCCCATGACGGCGGGGCACGGCAACCGTCATAAATAGGAGTCAATTGCCAAGCGGCTGAATTTTGATCACGTGACCATGAGGATGCTCTAATCCAGGGGTAGGCAACCTCGGCTCTTTTACGACTCGTGGACTTCAACTCCCAGAATTCCTGAGCCAGCCTGGCTCAGCTTGGAAATCTCTCCCTTTCCCCTCAGCGTGGCTGGCTCAGGAATTCTGGGAGTTGAAGTCCACGAGTCATAAAAGAGCCAAGGTTCCCCACCCTTGCCCTATATCAGGGGTCCTCAACCTTGGCAACTTTAAGACTCATGGACTTCAACTCCCAGAATTCCCAAGCCAGCATGGGGGAACTATGGCCCCCTTCATGACTTCTGGACTTCAACTCCCAGAATTCCTGAGCCAGCCACGCTGAGGGGAAAGGGAGAGGTTTCCAAGCTGAGCCATGCTGGCTCAGGAATTCTGGGAGTTGAAGTCCAGAAGTCATGAAGGGGGCCATAGTTCCCCCATGCTGGCTCAGGAATTCTAGAAGTTGAAGTCCACGAGTCATAAAAGAGCCAAGATTGCCTACCCCTGGTATAGGGCAAGGGTACTCAAACTTGGCCCTTTTATGACTCGTGGACTTCAACTCCCAGAATTCCTGAGTCAGCCACGCTGAGGGGAAAGGGAGAGGTTTCCAAGCTGAGCCATGCAGGCTCAGGAAATCTGAGAGTTGAAGTCCACGAGTCATAAAAGAGCCAAGGTTGCCTACCCCTGCTCTAATCCATGGCAATCTATCTGGCATTTCATTTATCGAAGGTAATGTTTTCGGCTGACTAGTCTTGTCCGACTCTAGGGCACAGTGCTCGCCTCCGTTTCTTAGTCGAGGGAACCAGCATTGTCCGAATACGCTTCTGTGGTCATGTGGCCAGCATGACTATAGGCCGAGGCGCACAGAATCCCATCGAAGTGGTACCTATTAATCTACTCGCGTTTCCACGCTTTTAAAACTCCGGGGTGGGCAGGAGCTGGAGCAAGGAACGGGAGCTCACCCCATCCTATGGCACTTGGGTCTCGAACCTGGACTGGCAGCTTTTTCAGTGTCTTTAACTGCTGAGCCATCGCCCCCTCGCCCCCCAATTTCATTTATATTTCACTGAATATCTTATCTATATCCCCAAGGTGCTTTTTTCAAGAGGTAACTGGACTTCCTTGTTTTTTCTCCGAAGGCTTTTCTCTTCTCATCCAAGAAGATTCTTCATCTCTGACTGGATGGTGGGGAATGGAAGGATTGATATTCCTTGCAGACAGCTGGTCATTTGCCTCCTTTTAGAGCAGGGGTAGGCAACCTCGGCTCTTTTATGACTCGTGGACTTCAATTCCCAGAATTCCTGAGCCAGCATGGCTCAGCTTGGAAACCTCTCCCTTTCCCCTCAGCGTAGCTGGCTGAGGAATTCTGGGAGTTGAAGTCCACGAGTCATAAAAGAGCCAAGGTTCCCCACCCCTGCCCTATATCAGGGCTCCTCAAACTTGGCAGCTTTAAGACTCGTGGACTTCAACTCCCAGAATTCCTGAGCCAGCATGGCTCAGCTTGGAAACCTCTCCCTTTCCCCTCAGCGTGGCTGGCTCAGGAATTCTGGGAGTTGAAGTCCACGAGTCATAAAAGAGCCAAGGTTGCCTACCCCTGTTTTAGAGAGTCGTTGAGGCCACGAAGATTGAATCTTTTCCCCCTATGTTGTGCCATGCGTTTGTGAAGTTTGAAAACAAACCCATCAGGACAGGATGCAGTAATAGTCCATCTGCATTTGAAAGACGAAGGCCACTCTTTTGAAGACTACAAAGGCCACATTTCGGACGAGGAGGACCGCTGGTTTGAAAGAGGGGTCCAAGCAGCCGTTTGTGTCAAAACTGAACAGCCCTCTTCTCTCAATGGCGGGAGGGACACAACATCATCTATCTCCTGTCTACTACAAGTCTTTTCAGCAGTTCCAAGAAGGCTCCACACCCCTTTGCACTACTCAGGTGACCCGGAGGACCCAGATAAACCTCCAAGTGGTCTCAATGGCTCTCTAAAAGGATGCAAATGACCAGCTGTCTGCAAGGAGTATAAATCCTTCCATTCCCCGCCATCCAGCCAGAGCTGAAGAAGCTCCATGGATGAAAAGCGAAATGTCTTAAAAGAAACAAGAAAGTCCAATTGCCTCGTGAAAAATCACCTTTGGGACAACCTTGATCTGGATGACAGAGCATCTCCACAGACATCTCATCAAATACGCAACAGTTGTTTCTTTGTTCCTGACATCCCTGTTCATTTCCACCCCTTCTCAAACTCTTCGCCCTGGTCCAAGCTCAGATATGGGTGCCTACCTTCTCCGACACTTCAGCCAAGTCCAGACTTTGCAGCTTGCCTGCCAGCTCATCCAAGAGACGGGATTGCTCTTCCTGAGTAGACTTGAAGGCGGCCTCGGTATCGTTAATCAAGCTCTCCACTTCCAGGCGCATTTCGGCGGACTGCTCAACAAGGCTTCCGGGAAGCAAAACGGAGGCGTTGGCTCTCTTTTCTGCATCCAGCGACATCTGGAAATATTTGGTGATGCTGTCCAGGGCGCCTGAAACCATCAGAGGGTGGGACAGGTTGAGCACCCGTGTTTGTCCCGCCTTTACAGCGGTAACGCAGGTAACCCTCCACTGATGACCACAAGGGAGCCCAAAATTTCTGTCGCTCAGCGAGACGGTTATTAAAGTGAGTCTCGCTCCGTTTTACGACCTTTCCCGGCACTGTTGCGAAGTCAATCACTGCAGTTGTTAAATTAGCCACAGGGTTTTGAAGTGAATCAACGGCTTCCCCGTTGACTTTGCTTGTCGGAAGGGCGCAAAAGGGGATCGCGTGACCCAAGACACGACAACTGTCTAATAATAATAATAATAATAATAATAATAATAATAATGTTGGAAGGGACCTTGGAGGTCATCGAGTCCAACCCCCTGCTCAGGCAGGAAACCCTATACCATTTCAGACAAATGGCTGTCCAGTCTCTTCTTAAAAACTTCCAGTGTTGGAGCATTCACAGCTTCTGGAGGCAGGTTGTTCCACTGGTTAATTGTTCTAACTGTCAGGAAATTTCTCCTTAGTTCTAGGTTGCTTCTCTCCTTGATTAGTTTCCATCTGTTGCTTCTTGTCCTGCCTTCAGGCGCTTTGGAGAATAGCTTGACTCCCTCTTCTTTGGGGCAGCCCCTGAGATACTGGAAGACTGCTATCATGTCCCCCCTCGTCCTTCTCTTCATTAAACTAGACATACAGGTAGGTCCTCGACACAGGACCACAATTGACCCCAAAATGTATGGCGCTAAGTGAGAAATTTGCAAAGTGCAGTTTTGCCCCATTTTACAACCTTGTTTACCTCAATTGTAAAGTGAGTCACTGCAGATTTAAAATAGTCACACGGTTGTTAAGTGAATCTGGCTGGTTGTTAAGTGAATCCCGCCTGTGACTTTGTTTGTCAGAAGGTTTTTAAGAAGACACTGGACAGCCATTTGTGTGAAATGGTATAGGGTTTCCTGCCTGAGCAGGGGGTTGGGCTAGATGACCTTCCAACTTTATTATTATTATTATTATTATTATTATTATCATTATCATTATCATTATTATTACTATTACTGTCACAAAAGGGGATCAGGTGGCCCCAGGACACTGCAAAACCGTCATAAACGTGAGTCGGTTGTCAAGCATCCTCATGTTGATCACATGACCAACGGTCACAAGTGTGAAAACCGGTCCCCAGTCATTTCTTCGGTGCCGTCATAACTTTGAACGGTCACTAAATGAGTGATTGTAAGTTGAGGACTCCTTGTAGTTTGGAGAAGCGGTCTACGAAATTAAATGCACGACGCGGCCGTGATTAAGCACGGCCCCATGAAGCCCAGTTAAGTTCGTTTGACAGAAATCCAGGTGACTTTCATCCATTTAAAATATTTTCACCGCTTCCCAAGCCCAGATCCTGCCTCAAG